AGCCACAGCTGGTTTTAAAAGTAGTAAATGCTGGGCTTAAAGCTAGAGTTGTGCTTCAAGCCTTCTTCAACTGCAAGAATATCATGGGAAACTTCCTTTAGAATAACAGTTGTTCAGACTTTACCAAAGAGCCTTACTGCATGACGGCTTCGTCTATGGGAAGTTCGCTTAGAATAGCAGAAGTTGGCGGCGTCAGCAACCTGTTTCCTACCCCGCAAAAAAATAAATATTACAATTTAAAAGTCTGTTTTCAAGCGTTTTATAACCAATGGTTCCTAGCCTTTACCATTTCATGTGCCGTTTACCATCAAACGGTAATGAAAACCCCTGAACCTTTTTTAGGAATTGGCAGAGACGTGCGAATTAAGCGATGGGTTTATATTTGGACCCGGAGGTGGCCCGCGTCACATCATTGGCACGAATTGTGAAATGGTGGCCGATGCATGCTTCGAAAAAGGCAAAGAAAAGGTTAGTATATTACATCTTAAAATTGTACTTGTCTTAGTTTTTAACTTGTTCGCCAAAATGTGAGTAGGATTATACTGGCAGCTTGTATTTTGAGGTAGCAGTTAAAATGGGCGTTGTTACAACTAAAGTTCCTCAAGGCCATGAGATGATTACCACCGAAAAGCCAGAATTTTGCTTAATGGCCAACTTAGGGGTTTGCAAGGGCAGTATACCAACAAGCGTATGTGAGCTTTCAGTTTGGACTTAATGAAATCAGCTTGGTGAATTTTGACTTTTTGAAAGGCAATACTGTATCCGTTGTAATGAAGGTGCGGAAGCAATTTGCCTTCCTACGAACTATTTTAAGCAGTCAAAAAATTTAACTTGCAGTAAAAATCAAGGCACGAAAGCGACTTGGCGATCTCAATTTTCCAGAAGCAGTCAGGCGCGCAATTGCTACTCATTATAAAGATCAGCTTGTCTCCTGTGCCGGGATCTTTTTGTTGAAGGGGAGTAAAGCTAGGATACACGTCATGCCGGACTTCCCCTCGGGATCGTTTGCTTCAGCTGAGGAGGTAAAGCTCTGTCATTTGTTATTTCAAGTGAAAGTTCCTGTTTTGCTAGAGAAACCCAATACTTAGTTTCCTGAATGAAATACTTTAGCTCATAGACACTTCGATTTGTTTATTTCACAGTAGGCTGTCTTCATTTCAGATGGAAAAATGGCTAAAGATTTTTGAAATTGATGGACCAATTGTAGCCGCGTCTGTGATTCATTCGAAAAGTGTCGATAACTATAAGCTTCGTCTCGAACATACTCATTGTTATAATAAGCATGAGGCAGGGCATTATTACTGTGACACAGATCCGGAAAGTGTGGAATATGAGGGCTACTTTGCTGTTGCCAGTGCAGTTTACAGGATCGATCTGGCCTAGTTTGTGACAATTAATGATCCGGGTACTTCTGACTCTATAAATTGTTTTTAGGATGTCACTGAGATATAGTCGCGTGTCATATTCACTGTTGTCGTATATGTCTAAATAAGAACCTGTGTCATCAAACTCCAAAAATTAAATTTAGAAAAACAAACAGCGAGAATGCTTGGATAAAGAGTTTTTTTTATCGTTGACTGAATTACGAAAGAATCCCTGATAACAACAGAACACCTCATTGTTCTGTTATAGAGGAAGCTTTTTACCTATGTATCACTTTCTAGCTATAGTTGTCCTTGCCATTCAAAGTAAACGCCCAGAACTTACTACTTGGATTTCCAAGTAACGCTAGCCAAGTAGCACTGTGGTCTCCGCTGTCCCACTAATAAGTGGTCCACAGCAAGTCACTAAGCTTTCCCGAAGTCTTCATTTAAAACGTTTTGGGCTTGGAGAACAGTCAACTACATCCGAGTACTCGGCGACAACCAGTGTTTGGTAGAATTGTTTAGAACGAGTTTCCACGCTGCACAACCTACAAATGGTGAGGCCCAGTACTGATCATCGCAAACACTTTTTCGTCGCCATGAGAAGTGGCTAATCCTGGCTTTTTTAAACCGAAACTTCGAGGAGAGCCTGCGTACGAAAACCGTGTTCCCCTGCAGCATTTCTCCATGATGGACAGAAAAACACTTCAAAATTGGATTGCCGCTACAACTCCGAAAACTAAATGTCAATATTAACTTGACTTAGGAAACTCAAGCCCAACCGACTGCGTCACCGCTGATGGCTTTATAGTCTGATGCTTGTGCTTCTTTCTTTAAAGTGGACTTTTAAGAAGAAAGAAGGTTCGTCTTCACTCACTTATTCAGAT